ACATCATCAGAGTTGAAATTGAATTAGCGCTTCCCAATGGTTATGAAAATTTAGACAAAAAACCAGAACCACATGATTTTCTTTGGGTAACATTTTCGGCTAAAAAAGATGTTTTCTACGTTGGAAAAGTTATCGCTGAACATTTGCAATTTTTGCCAACTGGAAATGAGTTTGAAATCACCTTCTTACGAAGAAGCAACAAAGTGAAGGAAAAATTCTGTTTTCAAAATGATATTGTCCAAACCATTTTGTATGGGCACAAAGCACCAACAAAATTTATTTTCATATATAAAATTAATTTCGTTTGAAGTCAAATTTGCGTCCTTAGACGTGCCCTGCCATATCTATCTACCTAATTCTGTTTGTTTTTTCTAAGTACATTTTTTTACACTATATTTAGAATACATTTTTATTAAGGTAAATAAAGAATCTCCACGATTCTATGAAATACTTGGTAGCCCCAAATAAATCTCACTGTCTCATTGTAGAATTTGGATTGTCTTATTGTGGAACAGTCTTGGTTTACTTTGAGACAAAAGAGTACGTCACAAAATATATAAATATTGAGTTATACATTCAATCAAGAAAATTGTTAAATATTGGCAACCATGTGCACGTTTAGTTCTTTCCTAGTAGTTGATAGCTCTCTTAGGGAATTTCTGGGGAGAATCTAGTGAGAGGGTTGGTAGGAGTTGACTTGTTTGGTAGAGGGTAGGTGGCGTGTCACTATTGTTTGGTGTGTGTGAGTGAAAGCATGCGGTAAGGAAGCTAGTTTAAGTTTAGTTAGTTTGGTAGTTAATAAAAATGGGGAGCTTTTGTTTAACGAAAATTAATCGTAGCGACGACGACGCCACAGTTTCCCCAACACGCGTAGTTAATTTGCGGTTTTTCCAAGCGGATATTGTATGTAAATTCACAGTTCATGTTAGGAGTTTAATCGTTAACTGATTCGAACACAATTTAACAGTCTTAAGATTGTCCAGATAAAGTACTTGCAGGAGATTTCATGAAATTCACTTAGTCGGGGCGCCTATAAGTCGAAATTGTATGACGTTTAGCGACCTAACATGTTGGCATTCTGAAGTTAACGATAGTTAGTGACATTTAGAGGAATGTGGTGAGAGGTAACAGTACGTTGGTATTACTAAAGATATCTAATCTAACATTTGCATTCTCAATTTCGCGCCATTAGCATTCGCACAGTTTATGTGTTCCGTGATAGGTTTGTGAGGTTGTTCACGTCGTGTCTTTGTAAGTCTGTAATGGATAACAACAAACGAAAAACAAAAATTGGTGCAACCCAGAAATGTTATTATCCTTTATGGAAACTCATCAAGACTTTGCCAAAGGCAAATGGGATTGGAGGGATTGTTGCTGTTGTTCACTTTAGGTTAGAATTATTTATAGTTTACCGCGCAAACCAATCAAATTTCAAGCTGAAATGCAGTTTTTGACTCCTGTAACGGGTTGAAATTATTTAGCGACTTGTTGCTAAATAATGATGTCACAATTGCGTTCCCGCTATCTCCACCAGATGGCTTCCAGTCGTTAGCGACTACATATTTCGACTCGAAATTGTCAATTAGAATAGGCCCCTTGGACTCATCGTTTGTTTACCAAGTTATAAATAAGGTTTCCGGATGCTTATACTTAAGTGTTATAACACTTCTTAATTCCTCACACAAGATTGCTAATAGTTCATTTACGGCAGTTAAATTAACCTAACGTTCCCAGAAACTTGTACTTGAAACTCTTTATTCTAAGAGTAATGCAATTCCTGAAAAAATAGAATATCTTGGCAAAATAATGAAACTAATATTAACGTGGATCAAATTATATGTTTAGGTAATTTTCGAACCAATTTGATTAAATTTAAATTTTGCTTAGAGACATATTTTTATCCACTGTATACGACGGAAATAAGCACAGATTCGTTATCATGGACAAATTTCCTATACGACTATTCATTTCTGAAATCGATTTACCCAAGATTAAAATTTTGCTCAAAAAGGGGGGAGGCGCCGAGAAAATAAATAATAACTAAAAATTGTTTATTATTAGAAATATTAAAAAATTGTATGTGAATCTGATTACCTCAAAGACGTGTGGTGCTGCTCCTCAAAAATCTATTGATTTCTAGACAAAATAACGAAATTGGTTCCAATTTTCATCATTTTTCCAACCAATTTGGAAAGTTTAAAAAATAAACACAGATTCATGATCCTGCTAAAATTTTCGATAAGTCTAGTAATTTTTTCAGTCGACTTAACCACCTCTTGGTCTGACAACGAATGAAAAATTCATCACAAACAAGATTGGGGGGGGGGGGGGCTTATTTTTTGTTTTTGTTTTTTTTTTCTTCTTAATATGTACAGTTTTCTTTCAATAACACGACATATATAATACCAAAGAAAGAAGGATTTTGTAATTAACCTCCGCCCTCCTGCTCACATCAAAAAAAAAAAGGACGGGTGGGCGGGGTTTATATTTTGCCTTCTTTTCTTAATATACGAACATAGTTTTCTGTTCACCACGAGAAACTGAAAACAAATCATAAACCCCGCCCACCCACCCTGTCTCTGTTGTAGTGATTTTTCTTTGTCCGTCGTGAGCAAGTGGGTGCTTAATTGCAAAATCCTTGGTAATTTTTCGAAACAAGGTCTTAAGGTCTTATCTTGTTCAAAGAAAATTAAATGTATTAAATAAAAAAGAAAGCTAAAAGTTAAACTCCACCTACGTCTTGATTTCAATTATGATGAATTTTTCATTGGTTCTCAGTCCGAAAGCCGGAGCGGCGTAACTGCAAAAATCATATTTTCCGACAAAAATTTATCATTTTACACATTTTAAGGTTTTTGTTGCGAAAAGAAGGCTACGTATATTAAAAAAAAAGCAAAATATAAGCCCCGCCCACCCACCCTGTCTCAATTGGAATGATCTTTTTTTATTCGCCTTGAACCCAGGGGCGGAGCTTAACTGCAAAATCTTTATTTCTCTACAAGAAATTACGAAATTACCATGTGAAACATGTTCTGTTGTCTCCTTTTTCTCAGAATGGTCTATTTTCAACAATATTATAAAACATAAGGCATTAAATTTTGCCTTTTTTCTGAATAAACGTAATTTTCGTTTCACGACAAGATGTTTAAAACATATTTAAAATGGTAAACTTTTGTCGGGAAACATCGATTTTGCAATTAAACTTTGCCCCTCGGTAGGACAGCGAATGAAAAATTCATCACAAACGAGATTGGGACGGATGGGAGAGTATTATTTTTTGACTTTTTTTTAACATTTACAGTTTTTTTTTAACATATAACATTTATTCCAGAGAAAAAAGAATTTTGTAATTAAGCTCCGCTCCCCGGCTCACAACGAATAAAAAAAAGTATCACACTTGAGATAGGACGGGTGGGCGGGGCTTATATTTTGCCTTTTTTTCACAACAAAAAACTGAAAATAACTCTGGGAAAAGGACCGTGAAAGTGCGGTAGAATTCATGATATCGTGACTGAGGTACGTAGGAATTAAACATTTTTTCCCCCTTAGGCAAATATCATCATCACATCACCGAGACATTTTTCTTGCAACGTGGAAAGCTATATCACTCAGACATCTTTTCTCGCAACGCCGGATGTATTTTGTGTTTATTTGTCATGTGTCTTGTTTGGGAAAAGCTAGGGACAGCCCACGATATAAACTCTCAAAGCTAATGGTTTTAAGTAACCAGTCACTTGGATCAAGGCATCATTTAACATTATGTAAACTCTTGGTTTGAATCGTTGATAAAGTGTGGCATAATTTAAGATAATGTAAATTATTTGTTCTGGCAGCGGCCATGTTGAAAGAGTATTTTCAAACCGAGCAAATGTTTGAACTGTAAAATCTCGTTGAACAAATTAACAACATTGTGGGTCATATGGGACGTGCATTTTATTCCTTTAATTTATTTGCACAGCGCCACAGGATTGATCACATTTCTGGGGGACCTATTTTTGACGCATTTTTTTGAACGATGCATTCGTCCGATGTCATTTTGAACCTCCAGATTGCCTGCTGTTTTTTTTTTGTGTTTGTTTGGAGGAACGTAGAACGATGGCCCACAATGCAGCTAAATAACTTCACCAAAATTTTTTGCAATTTTTCACCTCATACAATTTTTTCTATCTCACATTTCCATCTATGTCCAATCTTTTAACAATTTTTTGAAGCTTTAACACTTGTTCAGTTGTCGTCAATATCAGAGTTATAGAAAGTAAAGATTTAAACGGTAATGAGGTAAATAACTCAGAAACACGTGGCGGAAGCGGAGTGCGCGGTTCTTTGTTGAGCTGGCGGTGGCGCCATCTGCACAAAAGGATGCAGGCGTTGAATAAAAGTCACGGGAGCGGTCGGGATGACGTGACGCTCGCGGCTTGGCCCAATAACCGGGATTTCCTACCACGAGTTTGCAACCGTAACGGCCTGTTTCCGCGCGGCACGTTTCTTGGTAATAGAGGGGTGCTGGGTGCCATGTGCTTGCCGATAGAATAGAATCACCGTTGTGAGGGGAGAACAGCCACAACCAGGAGCCCCAAACTCCGCTCGTGCTGTGGATAATTCTGTTGTGTTCTAGAATAAAATCGATATAGCTCATCGTCACACTCTTATAGCGCTCTGTTTTCCAACTTTTCCAACCTTGGAGTCCACCACTTGTATCTGAACGCATTCCTCCACAAAAAAAAAACAAACACAATGTAGATTTCCATTTTGTTGGACGATCACAGCTAAGGTCTAATTTTTTTCACATGTCAATTTAAGGCGGAATGTTTGGGTTAGCACACTACTTTGTGCTTGTTATTTTTTTGGAATTCATCAGAACAGTGTAGCGTTAAGTTCTGAATATGAAATAATTCGCTTGTGACCTAGCTTGTTGTCAACGCGCCACTGTACGTCTATCCGTAATTTTGATGTTACTTTCACTAGGTAGAATGGGATGAGGGTGTAATTAAGACACATCGTATCTAAACATTTTTATTGTAAAATGACAAAGAATAAATCTAAAACTTTCAGAATAATATATGTTTGATATAGACAGAATTCGAATACAGGATACAGATTTAGTATCTAACAAAAACAATTTGAAAACGTAAACAACGTAACCAAGTCGAACTGGCCATCATCTTTAATACTGTATTGGCACCCGAGTGGTGGAATCGAAGCCGACTGTTTCCGAGTGGTGTCCCGGATGCCATATCGAATGAAACGTGCAAAAGATATAAACCTGTACGATTGATAAAAATCCAAATTGTGCCCATAGTTTAAGCTAAATTTCACTACTTTATTCTAAAAGTAATCTAAGTATGTAAATAGTAGAGTATATGTGGATAGATAGATACGCAGCTATGTCGATATTATGCTTGAATGTAATGTTAAATAGATATTTATTCAATGATTTGTTTTAGTTGATCCCACGGTCAGGCACGATGCCATGTTTGTTCCTTATTATGGCGTGTGCCAGTTCACGCTCATAAATATCAATCACAAAACAGAGATTCCTCCGCAAACAATCGCAACACAGCCGGATTTGTACGTGTCATTGTTTGCAGAAGCCTCGAAAGCCCGATTTGTTTGTGTAGACCGATCGGGCTAACTTTTTTTTTGGAAGAAACGTTGGGAAAAAAACGAAATGATAATATAAAGAAAATGTTTAATTATCAAACAGAAAATAAAACAGTAAATGCATAAGTTATATACTAATAATGATAAAACGAAACGTCGGAAAAAAGAAAACGAAAAAACAAAACCTGAGAAGAAGCTTTAATTTGCTTAAAAATGGCAGACTTAAAGCAACGTGATCAATTTATTAACAGAGGGTAGCTCATGAAAGACGTATTGTGCGCACTTAACATATGAAAAAATATAACTTTTTTTAAACATTTAGTTCAGTAGTCACAAGTATTGTAGATATTGACTTTGAATTTGGCAAATTACAACATGCATGCGGTATGTCCCTCGTCAATGCGAATTTTGATTGAATGAAAGAGACAAACACTGAAATTTAGATCACGCGTCTTTTGTTACATAGTATGATTTTTATGATTGTCAAGTGTATAGTATATAGAATAGAGAGAAATATATACCGTTATAATAATTAATAATTTCGAGATCTAACGAGCGTGTCTTAGAAAAATAAAGAGATTCATTGTAAGTATAATAAGAGGACACGATTGCTAGATCTGGCGGGAGAAAATATGAATCGTTTTCTCGGCACTACAAGAGAAACACATCCATATCTCTAGGGTACATCTACACCCTGTGGTTTACCCTAAACTAATCACTGACTAAAAACTACGATACGCTAATTTGTCCGCGACGTCCTAACAATACTAGCCAATTAATACTAGCAGGCCGGTTCACGTGACCGGGTCTCCATGAACCAGCCCTTACACTAACACTTCCTATAAACTTACAAAAAATAACATCGCGGCGACTTGATCCACATAATCACCTATACTTTTCATTAGGTTCTCTCAATTTTAAAGCCATTCAATACTGAACGCAACGCAACAAAACCTAGTAATATCGTTATGTTATAAAATCAAAAATACTTTTCATTCAACAATACTTAAAAGTACAACTTAACACTAACTTCTTTAAAAAAATACTAAGATCATACTGATTTGTCGATATAATCAAAGCTTAACCTGCCAGAACAGTCTATTAATAAATAAGCGCTGCAATATATTAGCTACACGCCGACTCTACGGCATGATAAATGGAATGAATACTGTGCAATCGGATTTACAGGTCGCATTATATACTGGACTTTGAGAAGGAGACTCTTAAGTGATTCGACTCTGACAGTTGGTAGTTGTGCATTCTGATTAGGGCCTCCACGGCCTCCTCCATGCTAGGCAGCTGAATTAGTGCCATCTTCTTGTCTTTGCTAAAACCAAAAATTAACCAAATAAAAATCACGTGGTAATCGCAAAACTAAAACAGTGTCAACTTTGATAATAAGTCGCTTTCATTCTCATAAAAGCAAACTGTGGCGCTGGAATCAATCAAATCTGATTGTTCAATATTACTCCTAGTTCAAACATCGACACTTCGGTTCTATAACATTCCATTACGGAATTGACTAGAGTGACACTATTGCCGTTGTAAAGCTAAATCCTTAACAGTGCTGCATTTGCAATAACCCAAAATTGGAATTGTGCACGATATATCAGTCTCCAAACAGACAAATTTACGCGACACTTTTAAACCCGACTTGTTTCCAAAAAAAAAAAAACCCGTCGGAAAATTTCCTCGGTATTTATAAAAACGAATCTCTGATGTCATTTCTATTAAACCCAACCGGAAACAGATTCGCCTCCGCCAGACAATCACGTCCCGTAATAAATTCCCTCAATTTCAATCCGAAACTTTAATTTAAAATCTCGCCAAGACGCCACCACTATCGAACTAATCTGGTTACCCCATTAATTAAAAAACGAATCCCATTACGGGCGTCCCTCCATCTAAAAATACCGTTCTACCATTATACGATTACGTCATGGTCCCACACCCACGCCGGTCACAAATTTGTTATACTCACGGGAAGAATTTGAAGGCCTTTACGGTAAACCCGTTCTTGGTGAAAGCCTCTTTGATATCGTCCTCGTTGATGGTCGCCGGTATGTTGCTCAGATGGAGCGTCGACGAGGGCGGGTAGATGTTTTGATAGTTCTTCGAGCCCGGCTTCTTGAACCTGTGAAGTGGACTCTGGCTGTAGTCTTTCGTTAGACCGGCGTCCGGCTGGCCCTCTTTCGGCATCTGGACCGACTGGTGTTTGCTCAACATCACTCGGATTGTCTTACCGAACACCTTCAGTTTGTCCATGTGGGTTATGGCTGCGGAAAAACATCACTGAATGGAGAAAAAGTGTGTAGATCGGGCGCACCGCAGAGGTCACATTTTGGACCTTTGCTATTTCTGTTATATAGCAACGACGTCGTGCAATTTATGTCCGTAATTACTTAAAAATTGTCACCTTTTATTAAATAGATTCAGTTACCGAACTTTCGAAACCTGAAGTATTATGATGATCTTTTAAACAATAGTCTGAACTCACGACAACATCTGCCGTTTTATCATATTCGTATTCATTATTAAGGTCACATTAATATCAGTTGTGTGAAAGTTTTATTTAATGACAAACTATTGTGATATTAACTTTGATTCAGTATTTATTTTTGCTTTTTGCTATTGTATTTTCTGCAAACGTTTCAAATACACTCTAATTAGGTCTAAGTTGTTTTTCTATACAGGTACAGGGTTTTTATAAATGATTCCAAGGGCGTAGTTGGCCATGCATTTCAAAAATCCCGCTGCGCTGAAATTATGTCTCATATGGCAGTTCTCACTTGGCATTAATGTCATTAGTAACCTGTCATTTAAGGGGACTCGCTAGACGAGGTTAACATTTTTTTGGTTTTTTGTATGAAAAAATGATATTAATATAGATGTATCATACATCAAACTGCTACTTTTTTCATATTCTAGAGCGTAGAGACCAGTTCAAGCAACTAAAAAAATATGGCTGAGAAATATCGTAAAAAAAGCACCATTGTATGTTTTCTTTTCAAGTTTTTTGAGTCATAACCATCATAGAATCGCTTGAAAATTCGCACATGGATAAAACATCACTTTTTACAGGGCGCAGAGTCATTAAATGTTTGTTAGTGGTACAATTTGTTTAAATAATAATGTGTTTATTAAAATCAAACATGAATATCAGAGGAAAATTAATGATCTATTGGTTACCAGAGTTTTTAACAAAAACTAACAATTATTGAAAAAAATGGGTATCAATTCGACAGAATTTGAGCAGTTAGTTCAGTACTTTGCCGATAGGAGCGCCACTAAAATTTACGGAAGCCACTTTCCAGGTAAAACCCTTATCGCCTGCTTTACCATAAACTGATTGTTAGAGTTATCGGCTATTCTTATAATTTATGGCAAGGAACTCAGTTTTATAACAAGCCGCCAGGACCGGCCGTAGTAATCTATTGTTAAGGAAATTAACTTTTACGCAATGAGGTACTATCATAAAACCGAATTAAAACTGGGGAACTATAATATTTTTACTCCATTCAGGGTCCTGAATTCAATACACATGATTACTAAAAATTCATTGTAACATTGTTGTTAATATATATTTTGCTTTCTTAATTAATAAAACTAATAAACATATTTATAATAATAATAAAAAATAAAATACAGCTTTTGTTTAACACGTATAAGTAGGCAAGTGTATCTACTACTTATCCCAGAAAGGAGGTGTTTTAAAAAAGCCCTACGCCCAGTAACTTCTCCCTTCATTGTTTACTCGAAAAAACTGCTCGTATATGTTTTCATTTGTCGAGAGATCATTTTCAAAATATATTTATAATAAAAATATGCAAGTCTTGGTGATGAAAAATGTACTCCTAATAAATTATTAAAGTACATAAAAAAATAGAAACAAATTTTATTTATTTTAAAAAAATCTCTCGCAAAGGCAGGTTCCTTTTTCTTCTTGAATCAATTATTTCGGGCAATAAAGCGCCAAAGCAAAATCTGCGAAGTTTATCTGCCATCTTTTTACATATATTTCTTCGTCTTTACAAATTTTTTCTATATTTATTCCTTTGGGTGTCCATACAACAAAATAAACTTGTGAAATACCCGTAACAAGCATTTGTCCCTGGACTTGAAAGTAGTAGTCATGATTCTTTTTTTAGTTTCAATTCTCTGTCTGTCAATGTACAAAATTTGATTATTTTTTTTCTAACCGCTTCTTCGGGAGACAAATCTTGCGATTTTGAAGGGCATAATGCACTCCTATCCTCTAGAACCCTGTCTGGACTAGCAGCCAAGTAAGGAAATTGTTTTGAAATAAACAAGCCACACCGTTCAGTTTTTATATTTTTATTTATTTCAAAACACTTGACAGCTTTTTCCTCACTTTGCTGTCCATAGTATGTATGATTGTTACCTCTAAATGTACTGTACAACAGAGACTCCACAGATTTAGCTATTGCTGTAGTCGGTCTAAGTTTGTAAATACGTCCAAAATTTGAAGCCGTAACCCTAATTTCTCTTTCTTTTGCCCAAATGTGCCTGTTGCCTAGTGTCTATTTCAATTTGGTCTAAATTCAAAGATAATTTTCTCAAAAAAACCTCTTTGGCTGTCACAAATGTTTCTACATCCATGACAGGATTTTCTAAAAAATATTTAAACCATAATCGCAGTCGGAACCAGCATACGTAAATTTTTTTACGACATATTTTTTACGAGTACGTTGTCTAAGACGAGCTTGTTTTATAGACGAACAATATTTTTTTGTTATTAAACCAAGACCGTTTTAATCACAATATATCCCCTCTAAAAAATTGATGACGTCACCTCAAAGTTTTGCTGAATAAATCCTATCTAAATTGTATAAAATATGATGAGTCTCTTCTTGTGATTTATCATTCCATTCATGTTTTTTGGATTTGCATATACAGGATGACCCCAAACATTAATGAATGCGTAAATTTATTTTATTGATTTAATTAGGAACTACAGAACCCAATGCTTTGAAATCTTGCAAATGTTTTAAGGTTATAAAGAGCATAATAAATTTTTAGTCAAAATATATTTGCTTATCCCCTCCAAAAAATTGATGACGTCAGCTCAAAAGTTTGCCGTATAATCCTATTTAAAGTTTAGAAAATATGATGAGTTTCTTCTTGTAATTTATCATTCCATTCATATTTTTTGGATTCGGATATACAGGGTGACTCAAAAAATTTAATGAATACGCAAATTTATTTTATTGATTTAATCAGGAACTACAAAACTGAATGCTTTGAAATCTAATGTGAAAAAAAAAACATAATAGGCATGCAGTCGTCACGTTTCCGATAGCGAGGGAAGTACTGTCTAAACTCTTTAAACCAATTTTTTTGATTTTCCCATTTTTCCATTTCTCAGTTTTCAATGTTTCAGTTTCGGATTTTTTCACTGATTCGATTCTTTAATTTTCCTTCCATTTTTAGGTTTTTCAGTATTTCAGATTTCGAATTTTGGAATATTTCGTCTCTTCAATTTTTCAGTTTTTAAAGTTTTAGGTTTTTATATTTCTCACTATCTCGACTTTTCGATTTTTCAGTTCCATGATTTTTCAATTTGTCGAATTTTTAAATTTTACATTTTTTGTTCTCGACTATTCAATTTTCTGAGTTTTCAGGCTTAGATTTTTTTTGTTGTTCAATTCCTGGATTTAAAAAATTTTTGGTTTTAAAATTTTTCTATTTATCAACTTACTGGGATTTCAATGTTTTGATTTTTTGATTGTTCAATTTCTCGATTTTTTGAATTTTTAGTTTTTGATGCGATTTTTTTTTCAAAAATTTTCAGTTTTTCAATTTATTAACTTTACGATAATTCAGTTTTACGATTTTTAAATTTTTCGATTAACTGATTTTTTGATTTTCCCATTTCTCTATTTCTTGATTTTTCAATTCTTTCTTCAATTGTGATTTTTCAATTTTTCGATTTCTGGATTTTTCAATGTTTCAGTTTTGGATTTTTTCACTTTTGCGGTTCTTCAATTTTCTTTCCATTTTTTAGTTTTTCAAGATTTCAGTTTTGAATTTTTTCACTTTTTCGATTTTTCAATTTTCCTTCCATTTTTCAGTTTTTCAGTATTTTAGTTCTGAGATTTTGCAATGTTTCGGTTCTTCAATTTTTCCATTTTTTGATGTTTCGATTTCTCGGTTTTTCAATTTTTCGATAGGTATTTTAATTTTTCAATTTTTAAGTTCTAGATTTTTCGTTAATTTTATTGTTTTCCTTGATGTTTTGATTTCTCGATTATTCGACTTTTCAAGTTCTCGGTTTAGATTTTTTGGTTTTCCAATTCTTCGATTTTTAAATTGTTTAATTTTTAGATTGTTCAATTTCTCGATTTAGATTTTTCAATTTTTCGGTTTACCGATTTTTTTCATTTAAAATGTTTCAATTTTTCAATTATTAAGTTTTCGATCTTTCAATTTTGGTGTAATTTGAAAACGGTATTAATAATACATTTAGGCGAATAAACTAATAGACGGGCTTGATAAGCCTTGTTTGCTCTACAGTGTCTAAATTGTGTTTGAATAATATAATAATTATCTCGAATATTAAAATGTCAAAAGAATACGAGAAATGATTATTCAGAATCCGCAAACATCTTTGACAAAATTTGCCCAACAGTCAGAAGTTTCTGTTGCAACATTTTCAACCTTTGTTTCATTTTATTGTAATGAATTAGTTTTATTTTTTTAAAAGATAGTTCAAATTTGACAGGCGGCTCGTTTACATGACGTACTGCGACCCTATAATCATGTATAGAAACCCTGTGGTAGTTTTTTAAAAAAATTAACAAATCAAGTACCACGAAAAACTAGCCAAGGTTATGAAGAATGTGATATATTATGGAACATACCCAAGTGGGCTTGGTGGGGCTCCGCCAACTGAACTAGCGCCGAGTCCTTTTTGTTGTACAATATTTTCACCCGCTGCACGTCGCCGTAGACACCTGCGTAAGAAAACGTGAATCAAAATCAGTTCTAAACTAACCATCACATGAAACAAAAACTATAAGAACTATAATCATCTTGACAGAAAGAGAGAAAAGTCGTAAGATGTTTCATGTAAAAATTAAAAATTTCAACACAAAACATGCAATAATAGAAACGATAACAAAACTGAGTCGAAAGACTACAAAAACAGAGACAAAACAAATCTTGAATCTAAGCAGTAAGCTTCGACAAAATAAACGAAACAGGAAATGACATAAATTATAAAATAAACAAACACAAAAAAAAAAAAATTTTAAAAACAAATAGAAAGAGTAAAATGATTAAAACCGGCCCAATCCGTTGGGGCTGCGAGATCAACCCCACCGAATCGTTCGGTCGGAAACTCTGTTATTTTAACCAGAAACCGAAACTACTGAAAGATTTAAAATAAAATAAATGACAGGCGAAAGGGATTAAAAATGGTTAAAGCTGTATGGTTACTTAATTTGTTGTTAAAAGAACAGAGTCGTCGGACGGCTCGATATAATTAAGTGTGAAAACATACCAAATAGTGTAAAGAGAGCATCAGGCGTGACCGTCTACGAGAGAGAAAGATGACAGGAGGATGTAACGTGGCACAAAGAGGTAGCGTATGCCACCGGAGGGGCAGCAAATGTAAAAAAAGAAAAAAACAGCATTAGATTTCGTATAATCATGTACACGTTCAACTAAACTATAAAATATGTATCGTATATAAAACAAAATAAAAAGGAGAACACGGAAACTGCAGACTTTCGTTGAATTTGTACAACGCAACTTAAGACCGAAAACGGCTGACAACGTGACAGCCCGAACCACGTAAACGCGCTCGTTCTTTGCCCCCAAGTGACGTTTCATTCACCTACAACACAAATTCGGCCCAAAAACGTCACTCGCTGCCATAAAAACAAGCGCGCAGCCATTCCGAATGATTGCCTTCTTTTAATTCGCGAAAATGGCGCAGTCGGGCGGATGACAAAAAAGACAACCATCGAACAAACTCGAATCGTATGCAAATTCTGGTTAGAAACGACACTTTACTTCACGGAAAACAACACCGCGGTTGCCTTTTTTAAATAATAAAAAAGGCACCGTCGGAGTCCAACTAAATACAGTTCACCGTATTAGTGAGTATCATTAATCGATTAGTTTAGCCCGAGTGAACTGTACACCTAGCCGCTTCGCCGCCCCTATACTGACCTCTTCGTTCAGGTTACTAACGAGTAAGACCGTGGCCAAGGCCAAGCCCGGCGCCGCGATTCCCCTCAATCCGGGCGCCGTCTGTCCCAGGGCGAACCCTCCGAGTCCCGGTAGGCCCCCGGTGACGCCGCCTCCGTACGGCGTCGCCAGCGTGGACGCCAGGCCGTGCATGAAGGGACCGCTGAGCACTCCAGGCGTTCCGGCTAGGATCGAGTCGGCCATGCGCTCTCTGGCTAAGCGCGGTTGCGCCGCCAACAGTAGGATATCGGCGCCTAGGCCGCCCGCCAAGCCGCCACCGAGCGCCAGCTGGTCGTTGGTGTCTCCGGTCGGCAAATTGGGGTTGGTGTAATCACGAGATTTGTCGTTGTTGTACTTGACGTTGAGCGATGACATTTTCGAGTAGTCGATGCGCAACGTGCAACAACTATTGTAAATGTTTTGGCCGTCGAGGGCCTGTTTGGCCGATTGGGCCGAGGCCGTGTCTGGGTACTGGATCAGGGCTTGGAATGAGTCTGAAAGAGACGCGTTAGAGGAGCAAGCTGCGAATGATAAGGACTCACTGTTTTTCGTGAAGGTGACGATCTTGAGGACTTTGCCGAAACGTTGGAATATCTGGAACGACAAGAATTATCATAAACGGTGCTCGAAAGCAACAAATCTGTCTATTGTGTGCTAAACTGAGAATAGACTTATTGAATATAAAACTTTCGCGAGGTGTTTCGAATACCGGATTTTCAAGTTTTTATCAAATAATCATTTTTACCGCACGAACTTGCTTATAAACTTCACGATGGGAATACTTGTTGATGAAAGTTTGCGGAACATTAAAATGAACAAAGGTTAATTTGTTGACTTACCAAATGCAGAATATCTAAACTTATGGGATATATCATGTGTTCGATGATGACCCGCAGCACCGTGTTGGGACCACCCTGGATGTCCTGACCGTTTGTGACAGGTGTGGCAGGAGTGGATGAGGGTGTTACCGAATTCTGGGAACCCGTCAACGCTTGGGCGGCCTGCAGGGCGGCTTGTGCCGACGCGTTCTGTAACAAAAACTTATTTTCAATGATCGAGCAATGCGCATGGATTTGTGGTAACGAATTATATTCGCATCAGTTCGAGGTTATATTTTTAACCCTCGTATCAGAGGTAAGCCATGAAATTCCGATTAGGTTATGGGTTCAGTTTCCTCTTGTAACTTGTGTGGTCGTTTTGATCACCGTTCTCTGTGGGGTCAATCACCACAATTACGCGTTTTTGTTTGAATGAATATTCCAAGCGGACATTGATTAAGTCTTCCGACTAAATCAATAATAAGTCGTTTCAAGAATTCATCGCCCACGAAAGTACAACATATTTTCTAAGGTAAATCGAGCATATTCGGTTCACCTTCCCTCCGGAAATAAACAAACGCACCGCAATTCAAATACAATAAGTTGATGTCAATCACCGTCAAGCACAGTTTCTGCATTGTTCGGTCTTTTCCGTACACGTCACTTCGCTTAAAAAGTATGATAATTTCTCCGGGACCACTCGAGGAAGTCAAACGCGCTAAATGACGCCTATCGGAAATGGATTTCGCTACTGAATAATAAACATTTTTGTTGCTTTGTATTCGGAATGTCGGCACTTTCCGTCTATCGCAACGTTTGGATACAATTAACTAATGGCTTTTATTATGCTTTTTGGTCGAACGTAAATATTATCACAAGTTTATTATTGTTTGTTGATTTTGGTTTCGGCTGTTGCCTTTAACTTAATTGAGGTTCATCACCTCCGGTATGAGTTCCCAACTCCAAAAAGCAATTATACCACTAACGCACCAACCCGGTCGAATTATTTTCACTACTCGAAACGCCTAAACTGCACAAAAACCCCGCCGAGTACCTGTTGCCCTAGTGATTAATTTCGCGTCCGTTCAAATACCCCCGAACTTCGCCAAGAGTTTTAATTGATCGAATTACGGAAGCGAAATTTAGTATGTACACCTCGAGTATCTTTACAAGTTTGCCATGAAAACCGCTTTACACGTGGCTATTACTCGCAATATCTCACATTCAACCCTCGTTTCCAGTCCGGCTCGAGTTTTCTCGACAACATTCAACACGCCGTCCCTTTTCTCCACTTATCACATAAACGTCATTTACACTTTGATGTTGAACGTTGGTCATATTGGCAAGCTTCCGCCGCTCCACACAAATATTTATCTGCGTGCGGGGATGAAAAGGAATCATAGACCTGTTACTACATCTGAAATTACTTTGAAACTAATTTGTTAGCACGACTACACACCGTTATCGTATTTTTTTTTCCATGGCTAAAAGGAAAATCGTGAATCGGATACAGACATTTCCGTTTTACAGCAAGCTCACCCCTTGACGATACCCACAAGCAATTTTTTGCAAGTTTAAAGGGGAACCTTTACATCGCAAGAACAAAGGCGAACAGGAAAGCCAAAGCTGCCATAAAGCGCTCATACACACCTGCACACCTAAAAGGTAGTTACGAAATAAAAAGAATCACGATGACGTTGAAATTATGACATGAGTGATTAATTTGGTGTTGTGCGATGCACTAAAAATGTCTGGCAGTGCAGTGGGGCATCATACGTAATCACAAAGTCCTGGTAATGAACTTCGTATCATTACTTAGATGGGCGACTGTCGTTAGTTTGGAACAATAGATTGGCATAATTGATATTAAATATTATTGTTGCACCGTACAACGTAACAGTATTGCGAACAAAGTCTATTATAAAAGCAGTTACAGGTTAAAATGAGTTACGATTAGTCCTGACAGGTTAGAAAACGTGAATTACTATATTTGTAACCGATAAACAACTGCGATATCGGTAAATTACTATAACGACCCTTGAGCAAAACTCACAGTTGTAAATTACCTACCACGGAATTTCTTGTCTTGTACCATTTACAATTTAGAAACACACTAGAGAGGTCCAAAGTAGAGGTGAAAAATCGATTACCATCCATATTATCAATAAAAAATGAATAAACGAGATCTAGAAACTCTCGCCACAAAAACAATGAACCCTTAGAAAGTTTGAAATTGGTTGAGATTCGCCGCGACGGTCGACGCAAAAAAAAGCATTCAAATCGGTTCATCCGTTTGGGAGCTACGATGCTATAGACAGACGAAGGCTTCGAAGTTATAACACCCCTCTTTTTACATCGAGAGATAAAAATAAAAATTATATATGAAGATCAAGGTAAAATCACGGAAAGGATTTATTAGTGGGACCACAAACAGCAGATGAGCTACGGAAAAAATTGAAAAATATAATTCTAAACACGGTAAAAGAAGTTTGAGGAACCCCAAAAACAAAATAAAAATGAAATGAGTGATTGGTCGAAGGGTATTTGGACAAAACTTCCCTGACTGTGGACAATATGAAATATAGCCAACGGGAAAAAAGTTCTCAATTTCTCAGTACGTCTTTAACTTCAACTGTTTATGTTATAGTTTGAAAAAATTCGACTGGTAGCACGTTCAATTTACAAACAGTGGTTAAAAGAAAAAGAAATTTAATTGTCTCTTCAAAGCACAGGAGAGGACTAATTAATAAATTAACCAGTTTTTCTCCCCCAGAGAAAGTATTGTAAGAGGTAGTTTTGACTTTTTTTCACAAAACTCTGGAGAATTAGGGTAAAAAATCAAGACGGATACATAGATTACACATACAGGTGCATGTTATTTTATGTAAATTCAAGAACATTTATTTGGAAGAATTGTAAGGTGGTGTTATAATTTTTTGGAGAGGCCACAAACGAATAAATTTTGTTTAATGATTTATCATGCTTCCTATAACCCTAAAACATGCATTTGGTTTTTTTTCAAAAATCTGAATGTCTGGGATAAAAATTCGTCACAGATTCCTAAATCACACATGCAGGAGTAAAGCCTATAAAATTTAAAGAATTTGGCAAAAATTGTAAAATAAAGTCATCAATTTTTGGGAGAGCATATACGAAAAAATTTTGATCAACGAGATCCCATGTTTACGATAATCTTAAATTGTTTCCAGGTACTTGCTAAAATAAGACTGATTTTGGCAGATGACATACCTTCCAAGAAAATATAGGGCGGGTGGGCAGGGCTAATACGTGCCAAGATAAGACTGATTTTGGCAATTTTAGGAAAATAAAAGGCGAATGGACGGGCTAATACTTGCCAAGATAAGACTGATTTTGCCAAATGGCATATCCTCTAAGAAAATAAAGGGAGGGTGGCCGGGGCTAAGACTTGCTAAGATAGGACTGATATTGGCAGATGACATACCTTCCAAGAAAATCTAGGGCGGGTGGGCGGAGCTAATACTTGCTAAGATAAAACTGAATTTGGCGAAATGGCATACCTTCTAAGAAAATAGAGGGCGGGCGGGCGGGGTTAGTCTTTGATAAGATAAGACTGATTTTGGGAAATGACATAGTCCCTAAGAAAGTAAAGGGTGGGTGGGCGGGGTTAGCACTTGCCAAGATAAGACTGATTTTGGCATTTTTCATATTTTCAACCATTTTTCAACTACGTATTTAAATTATTCAGAGTCTGGTCAGGTGCATGAAATAAGAAATACATTTTATAGCAAATAGCATAATAAATAAAATACGATTAGCGGTTTTTTTTAACTTTTTTCACATCCTAGATTCTATTATTAGTTTCTACTGCCACTCCCACTCGACATAAGAACATAATTAGGCCCGCCCACCCACCCTACCTCCTTTTCAGTGACTGATTTTATCCGATCTGAATGAAATGAATGATTTTATACTGAACAGAAATAAAAGTAGTCCTTAGAAAGAGAAGAGGCGAGGTGGGTGGGACTAGTACCTGCTAAGGTAAGACAGATGTTGGCAGATGACATACCTTCCAAGAAACTATAGGGTGGGTGGGCGGGGCTAATACTTGCAAAGATAAGACTGAATTTGGCCAAATGACATACCTTCTAAGAAAAGAGAGGGTAGAGGGTATTTCATTTGAGAAAGTAAGTCTTATCTTGGCAAGTATTTTATTCTATTCTGTTATTCTATTTTCTTGAGGGATCGCATTTGCCAAAATCAGTCTTTCTTAGCAGGTACTAGCCCCGCCCACCCACCCTCTCTTGACTTACAGAATATGTCATTTGTGAAAATTAGTCTTATCTTAGCAGGTACTAGCCACGCCCACCCACCCTCCTTTTTCTTACAGGATATGTCATTTGCGAAAATCAGTTTTATCTTAGTAGGTACTAATCCCGCCCACCTACCTCTATTTTCTAAGAGGGATCTCATTAGCCAAAATCCGTCTTGTCTTAAGATAAAACTGATTTTGGCAAATGACATACTCTCTAAGAAAATAAAGGGTGCGTGGGCGGGGCTAATGCTTGCTAAGATAAAACTGACATTATCAAATGACCTATTCCCTAAGAAAATAAAAGGCGAGTGAGCATGGCTACTACCTGTTACGATAAGATTGATTTTGGAAATTACCTACTTTCTAAGAAAATAAAGGCGGGTGGGCGGGGCTAGTATTTGCCAAGATAAGACTGATTTTAGCAAATGACCTACTGTCTATGAAAATAAAGGGCGGGTGGGCGGAGCTAGTACTTGTCAAGATAAGCCTGATGTTACGACTTTTGACATTTTCGACCATTTTTCAGCTATTTTCGAAAATTTATTATTAGTTTCAACTTCCACTCGACATACGAACATAATTAGCCCACCCACCCACCCTGCCTCCTTTTCAGTGATTGATTTTATCCAATCTGAATGAAATTAATGATCTTATACTGAACAGAAATAAAATTAGTCGTTAGAATGAGACGAGACGAGGTGGGCGGGGCTAGTACCTGCTAAGGTAAGACAGATTTTGGCAGATGACATACCTTCCAAGAAAATATAGTGTGGGTGGGCGGGGCTAATATTGCGAAGATAAGACTGAATTGGGCAAAATGGCATACCTTCCAAGAAAATAGAGGGTAGAGGGTATTTCATTTGACAAAATAAGTCTTATCTTGGCAAGTATTTTATTCTATTCTGTTATTCTATTTTCTTAGAGGGAC